GCCGGAGGAAAGCATTGTTGGGTTGGTTACCTCCCTCCTTTTTCCCTCCCACCCACCCCTTGCATGCATCCCGTTTCGGTATTGTGCCACGTAAGCAGTGCAGATCAGCTGTGCCACGTCAGTAGTGCCACATCACAGTGCCACGTCACAGTTCCAAGTCACAGTACCACGTCAGCAGTGCCACGTCACAGTGCCAGATCAGCAGTGCCACGTCCGCAGTGCCAGATCAACAGTGCCACGTCCGCAGTGCCACATCCGCAGTGCCAGGCCACATTGCCACGTCAGACATAGTGTCACGTAAGCAGTGCCACGTCAGACACAGTGCCACGTCAGCAGTGACGTTCAATACAGTGCCACGTCAGCAGTGCCACGTCAGCAGTGCCACGTCAACAGTGCCACGTCAGCAGTACCACGTCAGACGCAGTGCCACATCAACAGTGCCACGTAAGCAGCATTGCCACATCAGCAACATGACGGGTCTGCCAGGCCAACTGGCCAATGAGACCATTGTCGCCTACAAGCAGTGTTGCCTGGCTCAGATAGAGGCTGAGGAACAACGCCTGCTGGCAGTCGAGGCTGCCCGCATACAAGCTGAAGAGGCAGCAGCAGCAGAGAAACTACGGCTACAGGCCGATGCAGAAGCAGATGCCCAGGCTCGCCGAAAGGAAGCCCAGGATCTGCTGCAGCGGCATGAAGCCAACAGCATCGACAGACTCAAGTACTGGCATTTTCAACCGAACGGCGACGACGCAACACCGGAAGAAAAGGACAAGGAGTTCCTCTCCAAACTCGTGACGCGRTTGTTGTATGCTTGCAACTACCAAAGGTCAGAGTTGGAGAGACAGCATCAGGAATTGGCGACGCTCCGCCACACAGTGCAGAGCTACGAGGATGCAAATCGGGCACTCAATGCCCGATTGTTGGACCTAGAACAGGCAGTACCAGGACCAGCTGCTGGAGCTAACAGCAGTGCACCCTCAAGCCGTCAACTGGAGGACCGCGTTGACCACGTAGTGGCAAKGCTCGGCGACATCAGCACCTTCGCTGCGCCGACCACCACCATCAGCARKYAGCTGCATACATTGAAGACCGAGGTCCAGAAGCTGCAGTCGACGAACGCGGACGACAATCCGAAGATGTACAAGATGCCAACTTTCAACCTGGAGAGGTTCGACGACTACACGCAGCAGGATCCCGTCCTCTGGTGGGAAGCATTCACAACGCAACTCAGGATTCTGCCAGTAGCCAAGCATGCGTACATCGGCGCCCTGTTCCTGAACTCAAAGGGCGGATGCCAGACCTGGTTGAGCCACCTCGCAACCTCCAACAGCGTCGACGTACCAGACTTGAAGGACGTAATCACATGGGAGGAACTAACACGGCTGTGGAAGAAGCGGTTCATCGTCGACGACGCGCCGACACTCGCCATCAACCGTTTGTTCACCATGTCACAGGGCAACACAGCAACACGGGACTGGCTCACGGAGTGGTAGAAGATTGCGGCTGTGCCCAATCTGAACCTACCATTCGAGCATCTACGCCATGAGTTTTATAACAGGTCCTGTGCAGCATTGAGCCAGGCTCTTGGTGATCGTGAGCAGTACTCAACCTTCGCGAAGATCATTGACAAAGCGAGGGAGATCATCAAGACCAACAGGTCAGCTACACACGAGAAATCAACATGGCAGCCGACCTATGTGAAAAAGGCACGAACTGGTCCGCGACAGCAGCACTTCGCTGCAGTCCAGCAGGACAGTGGAGATAACCCAGCAGCCACTCCAGCATCAAGTGATGGAGATCAGGTGGCTGTTGTCCATCCGCGAAGCAACAACAAGTCCCGCAACAATGGGAAGGCGAAATCCGTATCGTAGGCCGGAAATGGACAGCCAGTACAAGTTCCATGGGTCAAGTTCCGCTTGACTGAGGCGGAGTACAAGGTCCGCGGCCGCTACGGCAGCTGCTATTGGTGCAACAGCACCAAGCACAAGACCTCCCTGTGCCAAGATCAGGGCAAGGAGGATGTGCGACCCCGCCTCAGCTCGGAAAACTGAGCTCCGCGGAAGGTGAGGCGACTCCACCTTCGACTCCGCCAGATTCGGCCGCCTTGCTAGCGGCCTCCTGCACATCTGGGGAGGATGTGAATGTCGCAAGTCCTCGGTATACTTACGAGGATTATGCTGTCCACTTGGTTCCACCACTGGACCAACCGCTCCACGTGCAACAGTCCACCACATGCACGGTTTCATCACCATCGGCAACCGATTCGGCAGTTTCGCCGCAATCTATCGCCGGGGATTCGACGTCATGGTCAAGACTTGATGAGCTCGATCCGTTGACGTTCACGGACTTCCAGTGGATGCCCGTTCCCTCGACCGGACGATTGCCGAAACCGCATTACAATGTGCTTATGGCACAATTGCGAGACTACTTGCACACTGTAGTACCAGCTCCGTTGATGGACGCCGGAGCAGAGGTTGTCGACCTTCATGTTTTCATCGCGAAGATCGACCGCGAGTTCAAGACGCAA